TAACAAATTATGGTACTACATGAAAATTACAACTGCACCTTCCTTGCTTTCACTGATGCACATTGATCTATGATGTGCTCAAAGTCAGTTTTCAGTTTCTTCTCTTTCTACACTCAGCAGAGCAAGATCACAGAGTCTGCCTTGACCTACGGAGGCTCTCAAATACGAAAGTATTAGTTTTAACTTGCTGAATGATCTATCACAGCTGGCGATGGAAACTGCCATGGTTAGCATTATCTGAATAGCAATGCTAAGATTGGAGAAGACGCTCTCTTCTCCATACTGAACAATAAATTCGAAAAGCTCTTCAGGTCTTGATATTTTCATGTTGGCCAGACTTGATAACAACATTCTGCAATCCAAAATTTCTTCATACAGCTGATGTCCATCAACATCAGAACTGTACAGTTTGCCCACATTTTCGCACTTCTTCTTTAGGTCGTTACTGTCGGCGCCGTAACACAGTCCCTCGACATCGAGAAGGAACCCAAATTTGGCGTCAGTGTCGTGCAAACGAGCGAACCTTTCGTCCATTTCTCTGTGAAAATGGTCGAGTGCTCCCTTCACGACTTTCCATTTCTTCCTTGACTGTTAACCTAGCGTCTTTCGAGTTCTCATCAGCCATTCGTTTCTTTCGTCTCTGACGTCTTTCAGTTTCAATATTCCATTCTTGACAGAGACCGAGTCCTTCTTCGAGTGATTCACTGACTAACACTTCTCTTTCATCATTAAAATTATCTCGGAGGGCTTTCAAATCCAGGGCAGCATCGTGGAAGTTCATGCTAGGATCCTGCAGCCTCTTTTGAATACGGTCAAGTCAATGCAAATGAGTACTTTGTTCCAAAATCCTAGCAAAGTCGTATCTCAACATGTGGTTATACAGCTGCCTTGCGTCACTTCTTGTTTCATGGTCTTGTTTTCATTGTCTATCATGTCCTGGAGAACTTGAAGTATCTCCTCAAGGTACTTGTTGACTGGCTTCACTGCTTCTGTCCTTGCACTCCACTTGGTTTCGGACTGTGACTTAACAACCACAGGCACGGCGTTTTTAACTTTTCCCAGAGCTGTGTTGAACGAGAGAAGAACACGTAGAGAGCTTCGATGATTCCAAAAAAACGTGACCATCATTGTATCCTGCTTGGCTGCATGTACACCCACCAAGCTGAATGAGTGATTGTCGCAATCCACAAACACTGCCAGGTTGTTTTTCTCACTTATTCTTTGATGAACACCACTTCTGTGTCCAGCCATCACAGCAGCGTTGTCATAGCACTGTGACAGATAATCTTTTAGCTCCATTTCTTCCTTCTCTAGCTGTTTCAAGATGTCTTCAACCAAGCTCTCAGCATCCTTCTGTCTTATCTGGATAAAACCAAGGAAGGACTCTCTAACACGGATTGTTTTCTTCTCAAAATCAGCTTCCACATACCTGATCAGGAGTCGAGTCGAACACGAGACCATAGTACTTGGCTTTAGTAAACTCTGGCGAACAGTGGATGCCATCATGTGGATTAATTCGTTTTGGACACCCAGTGAAAGATAAGACGTGGATCCAGGATGACTTTCCACACGAGTGAGGTGTTCTTTCATGACAGGGTCAAAGATGGCCAGTAGTTTCAGAGAGCCAAGGAAATTTCCCACATTCGAGTCATCGTCTAGCTCAAGTGACTCCCTGTGTCCTCGCAAAGCCAGGTTCTGAGTCGCAAGGAGTTTTATGCAGTGAAGGATTCTCGTCAAGATATCACGTCACTTCTGCTTTTCCTTCTCAATCTGTGACTGAAGTTCCGCGTAAATAACTCCTCTGTTTTCAGCTATATTTCTTTCCATTTCTTTCCACTGTGTGAAGCACTCCCAATGATTTTTAGCATTTTCATGAACATTAATCCTTTCATGTGCTTTTCACTGGTTGAATCCACTTTCCTGCTCTACTGAGGATTGATGGTCTGACCGGGAAAAGAGAAGACAACAGATACAAAATGCAGACCTGAGGAACGCAATGCTCTTCTAAGAATTAAATACAACAAAGAACTTTTAATAGAATCTTAAGACAAAGAAATTTGGTATGTTATTTCGTAAATAAAGTGATAACTGTTTTAAATGACTCCAACACATACTTACCTCTCACAAGAAGTCCAACTTTTGACGTTGAAATGATACAATATACCTTTATTTTAGGAACTAGAGCGTAACAGCAACATACCAAAGAAATTACTGGAATCGATGAAACCAAACCATAGCAGCACGCCACAGTTCTACTCCAAAGACACAAGGAAGGTATGTCATTCCAACCATTAGGATCCACCTCTGGATCAGCAACAGAGTATCTTTCTTGGTTAATCCAATCCAAAAGACACTCCACCCGCTGGTATCTTATGTTACAATTCACTTGAGTTGTACAAATGTTTTTGTTTTGCAAGCTAGAACATGTACCAATCCAAGAAACAAAACCTTTTCAGCCTAGACAAAGTTTCTCTCTACCCGTCTGTATATATTAAAGAAGGTTTATCAGCAATAATGAATACCATAGAAAAACACCACACAAAAAACAACAACATGAACAACAAATACCCTGGAACTTTTAGGACGATGTCTTCAATTTCTTCTAACCAATAGTTATTTTAAGTTCAAAAAAAGAAGGTGAAAAAGCTGTGTTGTGTTTAATGTATATCGATGATATTTGTGGTATTTGATCTTCCACTTTACATAGACTGAAAACGTTTCAAAGATATTTGAGCACCTTACATATAAATATAACTTTTACTCTATTGAACACTTGGCAAGAAATAACCAACTCAGTTTCCTGAATGTTCTTCTCGATTATTTGTATTTAAAAGCAAAACTATAACAAATGTATACCAAAAACGACCTCATTTAGAGCGGTTTTCCTACATTGGGATTCAATCACTCATACGAAAAAAAGCAATTGCCACAGGACAGGGCTCGGCATGGCCAGGTGGTTAGGGAGCTCGACTCGCAATCTGCGGGTTCGAATCCCCGTCCCACCAAACATGTTCGCCCTTTCAGCCGTGGGTGCGTTATAATGTGACGGTCAATCCCACTATTCGTTGGTAAAAGAGTAGCCCAAGAGTTGGCGGTGGGTGGTGATGACTAGCTGCCTTCCCTCTAGTCTTATACTGCTAAATAAGGGACGGCTAGCGCAGGTAGCCCTCGTGTAGCTTTGCGCGAAGTCCGTAACAAACAGACCACAGGACAAGCGATAAAGTACCAACCGAATTTGTAATTTCAGAGAAAGCAAACTCAAGGGACCGAAATATCTACTACATACTCTTTAACTGAATGGTTACTCAGATAGCTTTATCTCTGATTCATTCATAAGTGTGTCATGATATAAAAGACTGTTTGGTTATAATAAGAGTTAAAAGCAGACGAATGTATGAAGTTTTGTTAATAATTCATTGACGTCGAGAATATAGAAGGCCGACAAAAGATTAAGTGATAAAGATATTGTTACGACAGCGGAAGTCACGTGACGCTAGT